ACGAAAAATTATACATTTGTATGTCCAATATCATATTGATAGCTACGGTTGAAGGGTATACATCCTGAAATTTAACTCCCACTGGATAATTTTTCGTTCTCTTGTACCATCGTCTGAATTTGCGCGGCCTTGAGTGTCGCAATAAATTTCGAAAGTTATAACTCAAAATTTGAATATTTTATGCAAAGTAGCATGAAAGTTGTTTTTAGTGAATGATTGCTGTTGTGTGAGGGTGCTTATTGCGGTCATTACACGTATTCTAAATAGTTCGTCCTTTTTAATTTGGTGCACAATAGAGAAGCCCATCAATGAAAATTTTCTAGCCCAAATAAATGGATAAATTATGCGGTTACAATCTACTCACGTAACACAGCTAAACCTGAAGGAACTTAAAGTATATTCTGAGAAACCTAAACGTTATACCTTGAGATGTGCCGCTAGTTTGTAGTGCTAAGATGCCCAAACCGGGTGAAACATTCAAGGGCTTTTTACATATAGATGGAGCCGAATTTAATTGCCGTTCAGTAGTTAGGATTTTAATGCAATCGAAGACTTTTCCCTTGGGATCAAGGTAGGTAACTCAACAGTGGTCGTCAGTGACCAGTAGGACATATATTAGGAAAAAACTGGCAAATGCGGTTTGACAGTAAACTCGGTGGACTCCATACAAAAACGACTGGCTCCAATGCTCAAAAATAAAGGGAAAACAGAACATTGGTAAATGAAAGTGCAAGGCCTCTATCATGACTCTGAGTCCTGTTTAGAAATAAATTCGAATTGCTTTTTACTGAGGTACAAACGATGAACCAACAACCGTCATCGAAATCGAGAAATCGTACATTATAATGGCATTCTACTAATAGAAGTCAGAACATAAGTAGATAAAATTACTGACATGTCGCTCCTTTTAGTATGTGCATGTTATTTACTACGTCCTGGTAAGATTGAGATTCTACATACTCCCGATAAACAATCGCACCACTGTCGTCACTACTGGATCGGAACAGTACAATTGCAAACCCTTTGCCGAAACTAAACTCCATCGTCGCATCTCATGCCAGCCACTCAGTGAATTATTATATTATATTTCACACTTGTCTGAGGACAAACTGTGTGCCAAGCAAATGGTGGTACAATAATCTTTATAAGAAAAACGTGCCATGATTGGTTTGTGGGCTGAATACTGCCAGGTTGCCCACTCAAAGAAGAACTTAATGAACATTGGAAAGTAATAAAACAAACAATTCAAACGGCTGTCTAAATAGGGATATATTTGAGTACATGACACGATGGGTTTCCTCAATCACTGTTGTCTTGCTGGACGCCTTGATTAACATTACCTCCATGTTTCTGGCTCTTATCGTTCCTGATCTAGAAGCGAACTTCGATATGGATTATTGCACTGAGAGCTGGCGATGATACTCTTAGAAGAGGGTGTAACACAGTGACTTCTTCATTGCGATCCCTATACGAGAATATACAAAATTGTTTGGGCTCACGGCCAGTTCACACTGAAGTTTATCATCATTTGAAATTTATAGCAGATACGGTTTGGGAAATGGACCTGCCCTCATTTGAGGACTGAGATGTCGATATTCCCCAAATGGTAAATTATCGGATTTGGAGTACACCAATAAGTTGAAAGACAGCAAACAATTGTTGCATCACCTGAATAGATCATTGCTTCCTCCAAATGAAACTAGAATTATAAGGGATTTTGATTCACACTCCATGATCCTACCGGGCATTGAACAAGCTTGCTTTCGATGCTTCATTTACTGGTTAATTATAGAATACTGTTCAAAAGTGCTCAGCACCGAAAGAAACTGAAACAGGTTCCCGTAAGAAATGAGACAACACTGGTATTGTGATCGGGTAAAACCTAAGTCCAGAAGGAAGAAGGTCCCCATAGATTAAACTATTCTTTTCTAAAATTTATCCTGCACAATCAACAATCATGTGAACTACGGAATTTTCAACTATCATCCAGCTTTTCTCATTGCACTTTAGTTTTTTCGTACGTCCCCTCAGCCTTGTCCGTAAACTGAATTCAGCATAAACAAAAGGGAACGGTGTGCAGATCGAAGATGAGGCCTGGCATGACATAATGGATTCACAGCAGATAAAATGCGCAGATTCCAATATGTATGACACGATACAATTCTACCTTCATCCGAAACTAAGGGACCTGACTAATATTTTCGTAACATCGGCTTCCATTAGGAAGGGTCAAAAATAATGCGAAACGAAAACTATTTTTCTAGTTGAAGTTTTGTATTCAAGTTATTATGTACTCAGTACTCAACCAAGATGCCGAAAAGGGATTAATCGGTTCAAAATGAATGTACTGTTTAAAACCTTATTCCAACGTGCGGAATCATAAGATACGGACACTACTTCCCAACAATGGGCGACTTCTATTCGATCTGGTGTGTTCATTGCTGCTGATTGTGAACGCATACAAAAAAGGATTTATCCAAGGAAAATATCTAAGGCGCACAGTGGCAAACACGCTTGAGATCCTGTTGGAAACACTACAACTAGTTCTGTGGGACAACTGAAATAAACTGATGGACATTAGCATNNNNCATTGTGTTGAACAGTTGGCTATTCACCAGGTAGGATGGAATCATTATCATCATTGCACAGCGACGTAAAGCGAACAATGATGATAGCTGGCAAGCCCGCAATGCACACAAAGTGAGACAGCAGTTGGCTGTCATTTAAGGGAGGTAGAATGATATAGAAGGAAATGTGGCTTCCATAAAATCCAAGCGCACGCATTAGACATAACGCCAATAAACGGAGTGACGCATTCTCAGGTTCGGCATTCACCGATGAAACCAACCACAATATATGTTTTATCATCAGTTTGGACGGATTCAGTGTTGCGTATGAAGCTTCCTATTTAAAAACCGTCCCGACCTGCAATTTGGTACATACCCTTTAGTAACCGAAATACTCAAGTTTGAGGGTTAATTAATGTTGATCTATATATTTAACGGATTTCCTCCCAGATGTCCGCAAACGATACGAAGATGAAAGCCAAGCATAGCGGCTGCAGCTGGTTTTGACAATCAATAAGAGAACAGCAAAAGCACCAAATCAAATAACTTGAACCCTTCAGTTCGCTTTTCGACCCAATCAAAGAGATGTCAGATAAAACAGACCTATTAGATGGACATGCAATAATTTCGTTTTCCTAGATAATACAGAACTGACCTAGGAAAAACGTGGAATCAGTAAAAACATAAACCAAGCTCATAGATACCACCTCATTGATACAACTGCTTGCGATCAAATGATCTCTTTCAACGGTGTATTACACGAATTTTATGTATTAAGGTATAGCAAAAACCCTTCAGATGAGAAATCTATGCGAATTAAGTGGGTCGCAGTTTGATTTAACCAATTATATATAAACTATTGTTCTTTACTCACATGCCATTTATGGAAAACAGTAATTATCAACGGTTGACCACATACCAACTGACTCAATTGAGAACACATTAGCTTAGGACGGATGAAGAAAAGTTCGCATAGTATCCTTTTACACAAAGGTGTCATGAGACAAAACGGCAGTAATTATTAAAAAGTCTCCAGTTGTGCCAATGGAATGGATAAATACCTTTACCTCTGAACGGTTATCGCAAAGAACAATAGAGATCGTTGATCAAAGGTTTCAACAATATTGCAGCTATCCGACGACATAATGAAAAAGGTAATAAAGAACCAAGAACTAAGAAAAAGTAAATTATCATTAACTGAATAAACAGAACAAACTGACTCAATCATAAGGGGTTTCCAAACCAACTGAACACGAGCTTTTTCAATTTTTTTGACACGGTGAAATCAATAGTCGCAAGTTTAAATCCTANCGATTATCTAAGGCTAACGTGATAAACTTGACGGTCAACAGAAAACTTGTTTAGAAGCAAAGATAGAGTTCGTATCTCGGGAGCTTCAAACCCAAAAAAGGAAAGTAATTACTAATTACTTGAAAATCACCATGCATGTTCTTAGATGATAGCTTTATACGACAAGATTAGATTCATAGGCTATGAAAAGTGATGTAAGCAATGCATCGATGAGGGAAGGGATGCAGGCAAATGGGGTTCGAAAATAGTTCTCCAACGTTTAGAGATTAGAGGTATTGAAAACAAAGCCCATAATACACAATGATCAAGAAAGTAAAAATGTGGACTTCCGATGTATTCTCAAATAGCCGACTATAAAACATTTGATAGGCAAGCACGATTAAGAAGAGATGAGCAAAACAATATAAAAGTTCCCCCGGAACGATGTAACTCTGATAATTAAAG